TCCTTCTCCAGCCGCTTCTCCTCGCGGCGGCGCGCTTTCTCCTCCTTCTTCATCGGCTGGAACTTGTATCCGGGGTACTGCTCTGCGTGCTCCGCCTTCTTGACGTCCGCCAGCCGCTCGTACTCGCCGCGCACCCCGGGGTCCTCTGCCTTCCACATCGCCGCGACCTCCTTCGAGACGCTCGACTGCGGCTTCTTGGGGTGGCCGTGCTGCAGCTGCGACTGCATCATCTGCTTGAGCTTGTCGGAGCGGTAGAGGATCCATGCGTTGGGGGGCCGCGGGGGGTTCATGGGGTTTGCGCGCGATGCGGCGCGGTCGGGGGAACGGCGGGATGCGCCGGCCATGGCGGAGGGGGAGGGGGTGTGTGGCGTGGGGGTGTGGGGTTGTATGTAGTGTTAGGCGGATATAGACGTTGATAGGGCGCGACTTGGGGGCTGGGGCGGCGACGCGGGCGAGGGACAGGCGGGCGAGGAGGACATGGCTCAGCCGTGCGGGGGACGGGGGACACAGGGCACGACTCACCAAGGACCCCGAGGGCGATCACAATGGAATATGCGCGATCGACGATGGCGTGCCAGCAACCGAGCTCGAGGACTGCCGGGTGTCGTCGAGCGTGTGGCTGAGGGCAGAATCGCCGGGGAGGAACACGCGAGACGTCAGAGGGATGTCGTGAGTGTCGAGAAGTGGACGCGCGATGACAGAGTTGACGTCGAGCGCAGATGGTGGACGTCGGGTGAAGGAGAAGAAAGGGCCGGCACGCGAAAGGGAGAGACGAACCGGACGCGCTGTGTTGACACTCTGTCTGCCTTTGTGGGTCCGCACTCGACAGGCGCCTATTCCTCGCGCCTCTCCCCGCGCCTGCGCTCGTTGCATGCCAAGGGAGGGCGCATTGGCCGACGCTGATTACATCTGTGCATGCTCACTGCGCAGCGGGTCCATGCGCGACGGTCGACGCCCATGCGCCCTGCCTCCCCGCGCCCGCTCGCGCTTTCCCGTCCTGTTGGCCTACGCCTCGCCCTCGTCAGCGGGTCCATGCGCGACGGTCGTCCATGCCGCCCCGCTCACGCCAAGGCGCTTCCCGTCCTCTTGGAATACGCCGTGTGCTTGTCTCTGCCCTCCTGTCCCCACTGACCGTTCCCTCCGCAGAGCCATGCCCCTGCACGTGCCTTGGACGGCCCCTGCACAGCGGTCGTCCTCTCACTCAGGCCTCACTCCACCCGAGTCTGCTTGCTCGCACGCCATGTATCCTCCGCGTCTCCCCACTTGAAATACATCGCGCGCGAATTTGACTGCTCGAGAGCGCCGGCCCTCGACTAGACCTCATCAAGGCCCTCAGCACAGCGGCACAAGCACCCATGGCCTCGCGCGGCGGCCCGGAGCACCCCCAAAGGCACTCGTCGAGGCATCGCAGCCCGGTCAGCATGGGCTTCGACAACGCTCGCACGCCCTTCATCGCCCCGCGCGCAACTTGCGTCACCGGCCCGTCCTCCCGCAAAGTGCGCCCGCTCGCTGCGCGCATCACCCGCGACTATCTGCCGTCCCCAGTTCTCCTTGATCGCGACGACGAGCAGACGTCCCGTACTCCGGTGCATCATCCGGTGCGTCACTCTCCCTCTCGAGTCCACCCCTCACATGTCTATAGCCCCAATGTCGACGACGTTCACCGCCGCGCAAGGTAAATACATTCTTCTTTTTGTGCGTCGCTCGTCGTCGCGCCCCGCACCGTCTCTCCACAGCCCGCCTCTTCCCCCCAAGCCCGCCCGCTCGCTCCCGGTCTTCGGCATACGCTGCACCCGCCTCGGCCACCTCTGCTGCTGCCTCTTGCCATCCATCCTCCACGGCTGCCCACCCCATCTTGACGCGCGCCGTCTCCTCGGCGCGTCTCGCACGGCGGCTCGCACCACAGCCTCCTATCGTGCACCATCGCCTGTTCCTCTCGCTTCCGCCTCCATCACGCGTCGTCAAGCATGACGCCCCATCATCCTCTCATCCCGCGCATACAGGTACGTCATACATGCCACAACACGGCCTCTCCGTCTTCACGCCACTGCGCCGCCCCCCGCGCACAACAGCGACGCCTGCAGCCAGCGCGCCGTCGAGAGCACCCACGCGCGATCCTCGCGTCCTCGCTAGCACACATGTCACAGCCCGCTACTGACGCGCAGAGACGGCACACGGGCGCATACACAACATGAAGCGCGGCGCCCCGCACGCGAGCGTATAAGACAGCCAAGTCAGCGCCTGACGCGTCGACGCGCAAGAGCCGACGCGCCGCGTACCTGGGTCCGCGGATCCGGCCTGCACGCTGCCCGTGGAAATGGGACGGCCAGCCGACGTGACGGTCAGCACGCGAGCACGACATGACGCGAGCAAGACCACGTACGCTCTGTGGCGCGACTCTGTGGCGCAAGACGGCAGAGGGATCAGCGCGGGACGAGCCGCATCAATGGCTGGCGACACACTCGCTTGTTCCTTGAGACCGATGGCACGGGGCGCTCGGTCGTCGCATTGTGCGGTGCGCGCAACGAGCACCCGAACGTCGGCCGCCGGCGGGCGCAGCCTCACGATGTCTCTGTGCGCGTCCTCTGCGCTCGCGCTGTCGGCTCGCACCGTCTGATCATCTCGGCACAGACGTATCGCCGCGCGCATGCATCCCAGTCCGAGATGCGCCGCCACCTTGCCCACGCGTCGCGCAACACGTTGTTCCCTTGTGTGCCCGCCTGATGCCCGCCCGCTCACATCCCGCCGTCGCACGCACACCAGCCCCCCGGTCACACTCCCGCGCCACCGCACGCCCGCCGTCTCAGTTATCGCGCGCGAACACGCCAAGTAATACATATATTAAATACACTTGTACGTTCTCATTGTCGTCATGGCCCCCTCTCGCGCACGCGGCGTCTTCGTATTTGCGTGGGCATCGCGTCCGGTTGCGAACGCGCTGGCTGTGGCAATCAATCTGATCAATGAATTCAGGGTTAGCGCGGGCGCGGGAGGATGGCGTGCCGGCTGCATGCAGCACCCGACGCACGCGCCGCCCCGCGCCCGCGTTGTGTGTACGCGCGCTGGACGCCATCGTCAGTGTTCCGCGCGTCGGCAGCCAAGTCCGCACAATGCGACGTACCTGGTGATGCGAATCTCATCCCTGCATGGCTGCCCCGTCCGTGTCCTTTGCGATCAAGGTAGGTGACGTGTTTTGGACCCTCGCGACGGGCAGACTGGATGCTAGGAGGATCAGCCGACGCGACGCGAGCAGGACGAAGGTGGTAGGTCATCGTGCAAGCACCGTCGGGTTACGTACCCTCGCGCCGGTCGAGTCTGCACGCTGTCAGACTTCATGACCATCGACTGACAACTGACAAGACCAGCTTACATTCACGCACCGCCTGCCACCAACGCCATTTCCCGAACGACTGATTGCTTGCAAGCGGCATGACACGGTCAACACCATGCACCACGGCCACCTCAGACCACTCACCTCGACGCGGTAGCCGTGCGGGGGACGGGGGACTCAGGTCACGACTCACCAAAGACCACGAGGGCGATCACAATGGAATATGCGCGGTCGACGATGGCGTGCCAGCAACTGAGCTTGGGGACTGCCGGGCGTGCTGTCGAGCCGGCAGAGGCCTGTGGCTGAGGGCAGACTCGGCGGCGGAGGAACGCGCGAGACGTCAGAGGGATGTCACGCGCGATGGCAGATTGGGCGTCGAGCGAGCGAGGGAGATGGACGTCGGGTGAAGGAGAAGAAAGGGCCGGCACGCGCGCTGTGTTGACACTCTGTCTGCCTTTGTGGGTCC